TCTCTCTCTCTCTCTCTCTCTCTCTCTCTCTCTCTCTCTCTCTCTCTCTCTCTCTCTCTTTCTCTTTTTTCCGCCCTTCTTCTATTTTTCTCTGGTTTATTTTCTTTTCTGTCTTTTCTCCTTGTGTAGCTGTCAGCATAATTCGCTGGGAACATTGTGACGAACTGAGGTTCAACGAAAATTCAGATTCAGCGAGAGGAGATGGATTTTCGGTTGTTGTTTTTTTATTAATTAAAATCAGTATTTAAAAAAAAACACTCGGATTCAACAAACACATAAATGAGCTAGCTCAGATTCAACGAAATCGCTTTCAGGGTGAACAGACCCCACTGACGTGACTCACTTTTTTCTCCCAAAATGAATACATGTCATTGTATTATTATCGGTCCTTGCTGGATCGCGAACCAGTACATATATTCGCTTAGCCAATTGTTTATATATCTTATGCGACCCATCAGTGGCCTTCTTTCATACCAACTCATGCGTTATTGGCACGGCACTTCTGTGTGTTGGAGTCGGACCGGCAGCCAGCACACGTGTGACTAAATGCGTTCGTGTGTCTTAGGGAAGGGGGCACAAGCGGTATGGGCGTGGCACAGTCAGACCCCCCCCCCCCCAAGTACTAATAGCTATTATAGTAAGTTAAGTTAGTCCTAACATAGATCTACGTAACGAATTGCGCGCTTGTCAGTGGAATCAAATGTTGCCGTATGCGCTAGGATTTACACAGCAAAACAACTTGTTCGGCAAATAATACGTCATTTGAACGAATCACTCTTTTGTATAGTGTGTGCTTGGTAGAGTTCAGTGTAGCCTATGTTCTTAAAATTTTCCAGCATCAAAGAAACACAAATCAAAATACCTCTAGCTTGAAACCAAACTACGTTTGATTGAGGAAGTCGAATACATTATGCGTTACTTGCACAGTTCCTGTACGTATCTACACAAAACCCCAAGTTTGCTTTAATAACGAACACTCGGATTCCACAAAATTAAAGGTCAGGCCCGGCGACTTCGTTAAATCCGAGTTCCACTGTATTTTCCACCTTTAGAAAAACTGTCTGTTTTGCACGTAGGCTCGAATAGCAACATTGGCTGGATCTTGATGTCTCAAGTCACACCTGGTGACAAAACCATCAATTATTTTTCTTTATAGTATAGAGGCACCAAGTACCCATGTCTAAGTGTTGGCCTTGTAACGTATAATATGTGCAGATGGCCGAGACGCATAAAGGGCCTTTATCAGCGATACACTTTGTTGAGCTTCAGTGCGTATGTCTTCTATTTGTGGGGTGTGCTTGCATTGAAGTACACCTTCAATGGAAACCATATATAGCAGGCCCGGTAATAACAGGGATCCGGTTATAACAGGGATTTTTTAAATCCCCGTTTTTTCCTACTCTTTATCTCTCTATTAAAAGTTATCGACAATAACAGGGCCTCATTCGGAGCCCAACCGGTTATAGCAGGGACAAAGGCTCGTTAACAATGTGTAAAAAGTAAGAGAGAGAGAGAGCGAGAGAGCGAGAGCGAGAGAGAGCGAGAGAGCGAGAGCGAGAGCGAGAGAGAGAGAGAGAGAGAGAGAGAGAGAGAGAGAGAGAGAGAGAGAGAGAGAGAGAGAGAGAGAGAGAGTAACGCAGTGGTGGAGTGATGCAGCAAGACCACGCAAGCCATGCCACTGAAAGCATACGCAGTGTGTTAAGCGAGAGAGGGCTGCGATGTGCTGGCAGACCTCGATCTAGCCCGAAACCTAGCAACACGGACGCGTATTGTGTCACCAACGATGTCAAGCACAAGAGACAATGCCTTTCAATTGACCAAAAATACGAAATAATCTAGATCTAGGCTGTTAACAAAAAGCAAGCTCCACCGGCAGAGATTTGTCGTCAGTTCGATATTTCACAAGGGTCGATTCACACCATAATCAAGGATAGAGAGAAGATAGTGGCAGCATACTCCTATGGAAAGTTTGCTCGGGATTGAAAGAAGATGAGACTAGCCGATGCAGATGCTGTCGACCAAGCTCTTCTGATCATGTGGTTTAACAAGGAGAAAATTGGTGCCAAAACCCTTGTTCGTGGGAACTTACTTACTTACTTACTACCCATAACGCCTTCTGGCGTTTAGGGCAGCAACAAAGGATCTCCAGCTCTGTCTGTTTTGGGCGATCGTGGGAACTTGGGGCAAGGGAAACTACCCATGAATAAGTACTGCTGGATTGATGCAGAATGCTTACTTTCCTTGCATTTCTGATTTAACAGTGATCGGATATAACAAGACATTTTCTCTACTCCCACCATCCCTGTTATATCAGGTTTCCACTGTATTTTGTACTAAAGCTGGCGTTTGTGGTAAGTTTTGCCTTCACAATATATTAGTGAAATATGAATAGTCAGTATGCAGTTTTACCGGGCTAATGAGATGTGAAAACACACAAAGCATATTCTTTGAGAGAAAAAAAGGGGGGGGGGGGAATCTGGTTGTTACACGCTTATTTTGTCTGTTTGTCCTTACTTCACACACGCACGCACTCACACACAAAACCAGAGGGGTCCGATCGTTTTATTTCTCTACCTTTAATTCCAATGGGAAATGTAATTTGTTACTAAAATTATAGCCGGAACGCTCGTCTTGATTTTCAGCTTTGTTCTAACGTTTTTGTAACCATCCTGTTCAAATATTATGTCCACAACTCCTGTTACAACAGCTAAAATCTATTTGGCACCCATACTCTAAATAACGAGACCAAAGTATTTTAAGGCACCCCAGCGCGTACTCTCTTTCTTCACCAAACGCCCACAATTAATAGGCATACAGACTTCACCTCAAACTCAATCACACAGTTGCGGGCGGGCTACGCAAAACATTCACAGATGGATTATAATGTCCTACTGCACAACATCTTCTCCATTACCCCCTCCCCTTTCTTTCTTTATTTCTTACTTTCCCACTCTGTGTTAAATAATCTACTCCTTCCCCCATCAGCCCCATTCTCTTTTACGCCTTTCCTTTATTTATTATGCTCGCACTGTCGAAAGTAAAAACTTGTTCCCCAGTTTAATTTTAACATGTCATACTGTTAAAGAATTCGTGTACAATTTCTGGTCTTTTGTATGTATGGTATGTATGGTATAAGGTTTTACGGCGCTCGCAACTGCTAAGGTCATATGAGCGCGCCAAACACAAGTTGTTCACCTCTGCGCAAGTTCACTTCACGACTGGCTAACTAATTTACTTTAAAATGCTAAAAAGTTAAAATATTCAAATTTGGTGTAAATACATTTGTGATCTAAAGCAACTTTTAATCTGGTCTTTTAAGAAAAAACATGATGTAGATCTTACATTATCTGTTGAAAAAAGCCACAGGAAAATTTTAATGATTACAAACTCAAAGTAATTGTTATTTGTTCAAACGCTACTCCCTTGACAACACGACGCGTGATGAAGTTCCCCACTAATACTAATACAACCGATACAACCATGTCTTTGGCTTTGTGGAACTCGTTCTCTTGGATATACATAGTATAGCCTATGTTATAAAAGAGACACTATTAGCGAGATACGATACGTAGTCGTACACCTGAGCTGAGGTTCGCACACACAAATAAACTGACCGACAGAGGGACGAGTAGATCTAGATCTAGTTGTTCGGTTTAATTAAATCCACCTATTATCATCCTGAAGAGAATAACAATAACTTAATAACGGTATGCCTGTTACGTGAAAACGTGTTATCCTGTCTCCGCGATGGGCGTTTTTAAGTGGTTTACATACAACGAGAGCGATATTCGGCCTAGTGTGTCATGTGGCCACAGGGAGAAGCATGCTTGGCTAAGCGCCTATGCTACAGCAGAAGACACGACGAGAGGGCTGACTCGCTGTTGTAAACAAAGCGGTTCCCTTCACTGGTACAACGGTGGGCCAGTGTGTAGAGTAGGCTAGGTTATAGCAAACCCGACTGCTCAATGCTTTCTGAATTTTTAAAAATTCTTCTTTAAGCTCTTTTGATTTCTAGGAATAGACGCAGCGGGAGAAACATTTTCATTTCCCTGATCGCAAGAACTGCAAGTCAATCGAAGTTTGCGAAAACGAGCCGTTGACTTCAAACACTAAATCTAAACTAGATTCTAAAACAATTTATAAAGATTACCGAATTGCAAAACGCAATCTACGGCTTTTTAGTTTAGTTCCAGTTAATATGGGCTGTGCTAGATCTAGTTCCAGTTCAGTGAAAATAATCTCGACATTGAAACGTAGGCCTACATGAAGTTTTATTGATTTGATCTACACGAACACGCATACGGACACTGGCCAGGGAAATGAAATAAATTATTTATGTGCTTTGGCCTAAAAGCGTGTTCCGAAATATAATACGAGTATGACATCCTCCTCCTCTCCCCTAAAATGTGCGTAGCCCTTTGAATTCTCAACGTTCTTGATTCTGATGATCAGACTCTTTTGTCGGTGAACCATGAAAAACAGGAGGATATTGTAGCTTGTTGTATTGTGAAGGCAGTACAATAGGCTTACGCCGAACTATCGTTGTGAATAAGAGTAACACAGGCCAGGTTTATAACACGTACACATAGACGATGCAAAGAGGTACTTGGTCATAGTTAACTTGTGCTTCAATGCTGATAGGAACGTAAATTCAATCATAATGACAAAGGTAAAATTGAAACAGGTGACCTATAAAGCCTAAAGTACCCTTCCCCCTCTGCGGGTAAACGATCTATCAAGGTGAAATGTTCACCTAACCATGCCTGCTCGGTTAAGGATAAAAGTAACATGAATTTGCAGTGTGTAAGTTGAATTTGACCCGTTTCCATACTTGAAGAAAAGTTGAAGCAGTGTATAATGAAAACAATACTGCTTTTATTAGGTATAATAACTTTTAATAAGGATTTCAACTTGCACTGTCAGTAATAAGTAATAACCACCGTGACCTAATTCTCATAACAATGTCATGTGACCCTACACGTGGCCTAGACTGAGGAGAATTACCCACATTGCAACACGACAATGATGCATATTTTTGCCCAAAATGGCGGAACCGTAGCTGTAAGTCGATCAATTTTTTTTTCAACCTTGCATCTGTGCACAGCAAGGATTTATGTATCTGTGACTCTCAGAAATTGTAGTAGTACCAGAAAGCTATCACCAGGCACGGCCATTTGACTGTGTGGTGGTTCTTGTGAAAAGTTATCGATCGTTATATGTGGGCTCTATATGAAGCACTTGCTATTGTATTAGAATGTGTGTTTATTGTCGACTTGGGACAGAGTCATAGAGACTAATCTCGTGACATGTATCTTTTCAACGTCTCAATTATTTAGGTAGTTGGGCCTACAGAAAATTTCTAGTGATAAAGAAAACCCTGCTCAGATGAATAGATCTAGAGATGTAATTGTTGTGATGCGTATGCAAATGCTCCTGTGCTATATAACGTGGGGTCTGGGCCATGTGTTCTTCTGTATTGTCATCACGTTAACGTAAGGTTGGTGCATTGGTGCTAAGTTATACTTTAGGCCATTTGAAAGTTCACATATTACGTTCCTAGTAGTATGAGAACAATTGGTTACTGTAGCTTTGACTTTGCATTGTTTGTTGTTAGATCTAGATCTAGTGGTTAATAATATGTTTCAGTTTCTTTGTTAGGTTAAATTATACTATTAGATTTAGTATAGATAGAGCAGTTCAAATTTGCTTGCAAGTCATACTATTAATTCTATATTCTAGATCTGTCTCTTCAGTGTGTACTGAATAGAGCCTAATTTTTGTTTGATTACCTGAAGTCACAATGAGGTAATTAGGCACGAGTGACTTAAAAACTTTTTAATAAAAGCTCTCATCATTGCTTGGTGACTGCATTGTTCCTTGAGAAATTCAGCAAATTTGAAAATGAATTTAAACTATTGAACTAAAAATCTAGTTCTAGATCTAATCTAGATTCTATACTAAAAGTGGTCTGAGTGTATATGGATCTTTTTTTGTGTTTACAGTAAATACATATTATATAAGGCAGAGGAAATGTAGACAAGAAAATATTATTGAAAGCAATGTTTATAAACAAGGAAGTGAAAGAAAAACTGAGAACAGGACTTCAAAGTTATGGCTGCCAGGAACAACAAGGGTGAAGATATAAATTGAGGTTTCTACAAGCATGTGTGCGAATGCCAAAGTGACAAAAGGACTCTATACTCTATTGACATTAATGCTTTTGAAATTATGAGTGGAAGTGGAACTGCTTTCATTTTGTTGCTCACTCTAAAGAAAGTTGAGCAAGTTTCATTAGTGGAAATTATTTTGTCTCTTAATATCTTGTGGGAATAAATGAACACAAGAGAATTGGATTTATTTTTAAGATGGAGCTTTTTAAAAACTTTTTTTGTTTAACTATTTTCTGGTAAAGGAGATTCGCTTGAAGCTAAAATGACCTTGACAATTGTTTGTTAATTTTGTTCTTTACCTTATTGTTTTGTTCAGAGTAAGATATCTCCTGCTACTCTCGAGTGTACATCAAGCATGTCATGGTGGTATACTTCATGAATTTGTGAAACAGCTGAAAGGTAAGTAAAGACAACATTCATAGTATGATATGGCAGTAGCTTAATGTTTTTTTAATGTACATGATGCAATTATATATATTCTATATTTTATTATGAGAATTATGTTTTAAACTTACTCTTTTATTTTGGACATATTAAGGGTTCATTAAATCTGTATCTGGATAAAGATGTTTTGTTGAGATACTTTCTCAGTTTTGTTCAGATTACATCATGACTGCAAGGTTGCACAGTACAGTGTGCTCTCAGAAAGGTGAAAAGTTATTGAAAATTGCTGTGGGGTTAATGTTTCAGGCAGCTCAAGGGTGTTTTATTTATTTTTTATTTTTGTGAGGAAGTCTTAAATGTGAGATAATGCCTTTTTGGGTATGTCTATTCCTGTACTGTAGGCCATATATAGATATTTATATTTTTCTAGTCTTTGGCTTCATGTTAGCTCTCCCAAAGTGTGAAACTTATAATTATGCTGCTATGCAGCTCTCCTGACAGTTCAGTAAGAATGGATCCCAGAGAGAGAGAGAGAGAGAGAGAGAGAGAGAGAGAGAGAGAATGAATTGTGCAGCTTTTTTGTACTTTGAAGGTGAACAGGGAATGGTGTCATTTTAAAGCTATTTTTTGCCCCAAATTTTCACTGAAAGAAAGAATGTGCAATTTGCGATCTATTTGAATTTGCAGGTTCGCTACCGCTATGGTAGGGGCCTACATTGATTTATTATCAACTCTGTCTTTATTCCCTGTCATTCTGTGAACTAATAGTCATCATAGTACTTAGTACTTAGCAAAACTGTTTGTAATTCTGGCAGTCTGTAAGTGTAAGCTGTCTTTCCTTGCTCTTCCTAAACTGGACATGAAGAGTTCAGAGTAATTTAGTGGAAAGCATTTTATATGTTGTCCATCTGTAATTATATCAAATGAAGGTTTTGAAAACATGAGGTGAGAGGGGTGTTTTTGAACAAATTGTGAATTTGACTTGTAAAAATGCAAGTAGGCTACCAGTTATTTTAAGAATGTGGAGATTTTGTACTTGACCTGGGGAAGGTTGAGTGTTTGTAATTCATTATCACAAAGGGACTTCAGTCTCCAGCTTGAGAAGATAGGTGAAGACATTTTCATTACTAAACTGAAAGTAAATGGGATTTGGAAGGGCTTGCAAAATCTGTTCTGTTCATTCAGTTAAAGCATTATCATTTTTTGTCTATGAATACATTATTTTTTCAAACCCATTTATGTCACTTTTTTGTTGTTGGTTGAAAGAGTTTTCCATCAAAGTCTTTTTTGATAAAATATTGTTATACCTTGGTGTTTAATTTGGAACTCGAAAAACTTTTTTTTTTTGGTGTAAATTTAAAAAAAATGGAAGCTTGTTTCAGTTTAATGATAATATCTCTTCATTGTCTATTAAAAAGGAAGTCACACTAACATTTTGATCTTGGAAAATTATGTTGTTTGATTTTTTTTTCAACTACCAGGAGCTCAAATGAAAGTTGATTTAATTTGTTGTCAGTAGATTTGGTCTTTGTATGAAATATATTTGTCTCGTCTCTGCCTTAAACTATGTATTTGTCTGTCTGTGCCTTACTTTATGTATTTGTCTGTCTGTGCCTTACACTATTATTTGTCTGTCTGTGCCTCACACTATTTGTCTGTCTGTGCCTTACACTGCATTTGTCTGTCTGCCTTACACTATCATGACTATGTATCTGTCTGTCTGTGCCTTACATTATATATTTAGTTTGTCTGTGCCTTACACTATGTATTTGTCTGTTAGTACCTTACACTATGTATTTGTCTGTCTGTGCCTTACACTATGTATTTGTCTGTGCCTTACACTATGTATTTGTCTGTGCCTTACACCATGTATTTGTCTGTGCCTTACACCATGCATTTGTCTGTCTGTACCTTACACTATGTATTTGTCTGTCTGTATCTTGCACTATGTATTTGTCTGTCTGTACCCTACATTATGTATTTGTCTGTCTGTGTCTTACACTATGTATTTGTCTGTCTGTACCTTACATTATGTATTTGTCTGTCTGTGCCTAACACTGCATAAGTGTCTTTTTATGTTGTTGGGGAGGCTTGGTTCTAGCATAGTGGGGCCGTATTCAATTGAAATCAACATTGAACAGGACGTCCAAAGAACCAATTAAGAAACATACCCCAGACTTATTGAAAATGTCCTGCAGGATACAAATGGTCAACTCTTAGAAAATGCACTTTAAATACCCACTGCGAGTTTATTTGGAAATTTTCAGTTTTATATTTATACATTCTTCAATGCTTGGTTGAATTTTTTTTAAACGGCAGAGTCTTGCATTTTACTCAAATTTGATTGAACATTTTTTAAATTAATCTACCTTGAACATGGAGCTGGTATTTTTCATCAGAACAAAAATATATCACCCCCCTCGGTTGAATTTTATATGTTCAAAATTTAGTTAAAATTGGTCAAGATGACTAAGTTATTGCCTTTTACACGTCATGTTCTCTTTTCTTTAGACACGCGGCATTGGAAGGGTGTGTTCTTTTAAAAAAAATTAAATTCTGCCCTGTTTTTTTGTGTTTTTTTTAAATTTCGAAAGATCACTTCTTTGATGTATCTTGAAAAAACAGGAATGTTTTTTTCCAGACAAAAGGGCATGATGGCTCGGACTAAGAAACAAACTTTAGAAAATGCATCAGAACGCAAGCGACAGATTCAAGAAGAAATCCTGAGGGAATCGTTAGCGTTAAAGAGGGATAACCCTAGTGGTGCTCAAGAAGTCTCCCTGCCTAAGGGAAACACTGTTGCTGTGTCCTCCTCCTCAGCAGCTGGCTGTGGCAAAAGTAAAACTTGTAGCAGCAAAGCTGCAGGAGGCTACAGTGTGAATGGAGGTCATTTGAAGTCACTGTTTGTTTGTGTCCACCATTGTAGTTGTGGGTCTGGATTTTGTGGTCTTTTCTTTTTCTTTCTTTTGTTGTTGTTGCTCCAGTGCAAGGGTCTGCTTGAGTTTAGTTTTAGTAGAGGTTTTTCAGCACTCGCAACTGCATAAGGTCATATGAGCGCGGTCTGCTTGAGAATTTGGAAACTAACCTTTGGGATGCTTGGGAGATATATCCATTTTTGATAATCCTTGAGCAAAAAGCTAATATACATCAATGACTTTAGAGTATTGTGACTGAGAGAAGACTTAAAAGTATTGTATTGTTATATTGATGGAAGTGCTGTTGTGCTCAACCTACTTCCTTAAAATTTGCTTCTTTATAGACACTTTAACTTTAGGAATGTTTGAAGGTTATATCTCTTTGCCTTAGAAAATAAAAATAATTTTTATGGCTTTTTTGTTGTTTTTTTGGGAGACTTTCAATCCTGAGAAAAAGGTTTTCATGGTGGGTTGAACTAAGGGAACTTAATATAGCTCTGTCACAAAGGCTTGCCTTATAATAGAATTGTCTCTAGTGAAGCAACACAGGAGAAAACACATTGGGTTTTTTTATTTCCTGCGAAATTGTTCAAGATGGCCACCCATTGTCGGGGAGAAATATATGCTTGTTTTAGATAGGTGAACATCTCTTGGACAGTGTCATTATGATATAGAAAAAATGCATTTTGGGGGGGGGGGGGAATGGAAAGTGGTTGTTTGTATAGGTAATTGTCTTGGACAGGGGGTCGTTAGAGCAGATAGACTGTAAAAACAGTTCAGTACTACAATTGTAGCTCTTTGAAGAAACTTGCAAGGAGACAACTTTATTTTTGTAAACTTTTCGGTAAATAGATTAAAGTTGAATCACCCATTTCTTTCCTGGCTTCCTTTCCATAACTAGTTTTTCTGGACAATAATCTCTTGTTATGGTTTGCTACTGTTTCATGACATTTACTTACCCCTCATTTTGGATATCATAATTGATAATTTTGATAAGCAAAAGTTTTCAAGAAACTGCAGTAAGGTTTTGATAGCATCTCCAATAATAATAATTTTTAATCATGTAGGCTAGTGATAATGCCTTTGAAAAGTTTGGGTTAAGTTTTTTTGTGACCATTGTGGTCCTTTGTCATGCTTGGCTTCAAGATTTGTGACAGCCTTAAAAAAATTGGACAGTGGATAAATAATACATTCTAGAATGCCCACTTCTTAATGATTGTACTGTATTATTGAAAACAAGATTTATATAGTTCTGTGTTTGAATTGAAGAGAGAATTCTAAAACTTTCAAGTCTTCTCTCGCTTTTATGTAATGATTTGAATTTTGGTTTGCACCATCGTAAAGCACTTCTACATTTGTAGACAGGCCATTGGGAGGCTGAGGGAACCAAAGAATGAATTTTTAAAAAGCAATGACTTGCCTTTTGCTAAACAATATTAAACTTACATTTGCTTTCAGTTGCTACCAGTATTTTAAATTTTGCTTTCTCTTGTAACATATTTTCCCTTTACACATGCTTTTACTTTGATTTTCAAAAAATTAGTTGCTGAAAGAATAATAGTCTCAGACTTGCACACAAAGGACATTTTTGGTTTGTAGTGATCACCAAAATTTATTTAAAAAGGGATACTACTTGGAATATTGAGAAGTGTCCAGTACTTGCTCTGTGTCAACATATCAGTTTGATACTGACCAAACAATGTGAAAATTTTATATAACACACACAACTAAAGTCTGCCCAAGCAGGACTGCCAGCAGGTTAAAAGCCAGACAAAAAACTTTACATTTTCTTTTTTGTCTTTTTGAATATTGTACACTTTTCTGGATGGTTGTTTATGTAGTCTCTGTCTCCCCCCCCCCTCCCCCTTCTCTCAATTATTTGGCTTTAACTATATCAAGTATTGGAAGAGAGGAAAAACTAACTGTAAAAGAAAAAGTAAAATAGCAAATTGCTGTTTATTCCTCTGTACGGGTTATTGTAGCTTTTACATAATGCTTATGGCTCTTGTATTTCAGCTGTTTGAGCTGTTTACTAACAGGGTGTTTGCTCTTTTGATACAACCGTCGTTATATAACTATCAGCTTCTTAAAATTCTGAAGCTCAGTCCATGAGGATGATGAGATCTGTGGTATTTTACTTTAGTGAAAGTGATTTTTGCTGTAGTTTTAGAAAAGTGAAATTCAAACGAGGAACCAGAAAGATGGGAATTGAATACAGTTAAGTTTGTTCTGGTCAGTGCTGCCGAATTATTTATGTAGTTCAGATGCCACATGTGTGAAAAAGTTCAATCAGGGTCATTCAGCAAAATTTGCATTGAATCTTAATGTGCTGTGAATTGTCACGGTTAGGGTATTAATGGATAAGAACTAAAAAAAAACCCCCCGCAAATCATCTCTAGTTAAAATACTTGTTTTGAGAGCACACTTTGCTAATAAAAGGTTTGTTTTGAAAATTTTCATTCCCAAGTTATTAAAGTAATATTTTTATTGAACTGTATCAAATTCTTGTGTTGTACTCTGTGTTCTTATGCACATAACATGTTTAGATTGATCTTGTGTTGTAATAGTTGAGGGGATGGATTGGTGACAGAAGCTTCGTAAAGAAAAAAATGTTTAAAGTAGTCATTCCTCTTGTCTTCTCTTTCTTTGTATATTCATTGTCTTGCACTTGCCTTTGTAGATTTTTAGAAAAACGAAGACAGAAAACATTGGTTTCTGGCTGAATATATTGAGTATATATTATTATAATGCAGACTTGAACGTAAGTTAAGGACCACCTTGACAGACCGTCCTGATTTTTTTAAATATCCGAAATAAAGACAGCAAGGAATGTTCCAAAACTTTTTGCTCTGAAGGTGTTAATGGGTAACCAATACGTACTGCAAAGCTTCCTAAAGGGGCAAAACCACCACTTGCAGCACATAAATCCTCGGGCAATTTTAGCCAAATTTGCTATTTTTTATCGATTTGTGTGCAACACCACGGACATTCCTCAGTTAAAATTTCTGGTGCATGTGATAAACAGACGTACGGTCTCGAACTGTGCATACTTTGGTGGCAGTTTGAGCTAAAATTCAGTTTCGCATCAACATGCCACCGAGACGAAAGCTGAGAAACTTTGATTGTGCTAGAGCTGTGGCATGGCTGCAGGATGGAGTTGGACCCCGAGAAGTTGCCAAAAGGCTTGCTGTGTCAGACTATGTTATTGTCCGCTTGAGGCAGCACCATCAAGCCACTCGATCAGTCCGAGAACGTACAGGTCGACCCAAGAAGACCATACAGAGTGTTTTCAAGTGGTCCTTAACTTATGTTGAAGTCTGTACATGCATTGTTTTGTCGCACTGACAGATATAACATAAGACTTAGTGTATTTCGTGACATTCTCCTAGGAGGCTGAATTTTTCTTAAAATAATTACTCTTAATTTTGTTTGGAATGTAAGTTTTATTCCCGAAAACATTTTTCAGAAGTATATATTATTTTTCAATGTTTTCTTAGTTTCATTCCATTGCATAAACTAATAGGATAAATAAAATTCCTGTTAGGTTTTTTTCATTTAAATTCATTCAGATCATACATACTTAGTATTGTGGTTGCAGCTCACAATCGAAGATGCTGTATATATCGTCGCCCCTTGTGATAAGATTGATTAACTCCAGTGAATAAATTCTATGCCAGGAGAAGGAAAAGACTGGTTTCGTTTCATTTCACTGCAACCTAGCTGCTGGCAGGTGGTTTAGTTTTATTTCTAACTTTTTCGGTGCGTTCAGACCCATGACATATGACAGAGCATATGTACGACACCATAGTAAAATCAGGTGTTTATCAAAATATCGTAATCACAGAAATCTGCATTTTATGCCTGTTGGGCAATATTTGTAGATAAAAAAATTTTCTGCACATCTCAGTGTGGATTTAACTGAAAAACGTTGATCACAGACACAAAAAAATGTAAATTTGCAGTTGCCTAGGACACTGAGGCTTTGAGGTCACCAAGCTTTGGCGACCATTTTCTCACTCATTTTCCATCTGGCACCAGGCAACCCCTCAACTCCTTCAATCTCAAATATCATTGCTTATATTCAAGACAGAAGGGAATTTTCTTATCCAAAGCTAGAAAAGGAACAAGCTTACGATAGCTCAATATGCCCCAAATTGACGGGCGCCTAATTCCACTGTGTCATCACACAAATGAAATGTTTGATTTGCCATCAAGGACAATGTCTTTCGTTATTGGGCAGGTTAATTTTCTAATTATTTCCATTGAAAGATCATCGAAGTAAGTTATTTTTTAATTATGCCCTTTTCTTTGATTTGATTTCCCTCAAAAGATTGCAAATATTGATAATTAATACACCATACTGTTGTGTTTTTTTTTGTCAGATTCATCATCGTACAAATATGGTGTGAGACGAGATCACCACCGCTACATTTCATCCCAAGTTACTTTGAGCAGCATGTCTGCTCTTGCCCGTACTTCTAGAGCTCAGTCTGTTGAACTACCAAAAGCTGTCATCTGCATTCCAGACATTTGCAAAAGTCCCCCCAAAAACATGGATGAAGACGCGTCATCCAGGAACTCTCGAGAGTCGACTCCTAAAAGGTATGGAGGTGCCTCCTTTGTGGCAGGAGATGGCAAAGACATAAGGGGGTCTGGCAAGTCTGGCCAGGACTCTTCTTCAAGGAGTAAACATTACTCCAATAAAAATATCTTTGAGCAGGTTCAGACTGAGATGAGCTCCAAGCTAAAGGAGTCTTGCCAGAAGCAAAGTGATCATCTGAGGTCAGCAGTCAATGTATCCCTGAATGCTCTCAAAGCAGCATCAGAGCAAGGGAGGCCAGATAAAGTGAAGAAAAGTCGCCCTGCTACGGTTTCAAATTCTCCAGACACATTGGACAATTCTAAATGTAAACGCCCAAGCCCCAAGTCCACCCCTGTTGGTCGTAGGTCTCCTCGCCAGCACTCGCCCGGCTCAAGAAAGGACCAACAAGCTAGTCCAGGTAGTAAGCTTCACAAGGATATGGCGGCCGATGCTGTTTCTGAGGAGCGGCCAAAGGTAAACATTTTCACGGACAATATTGGAGTGGACTTAGGGAAAAGGATTCGTTCTCCTAGAAGGATGAGTGAAGACATGATTGCTTTGCCAATTTTTTCTGCAAGGAGATGGAGTAATTTGCCGAAAGATAACAACAGTGTTGTGCCAGCCGGAAAAAATGACAGCTCTGGTGATGGGCATGACAGTTACTTAAAACCGGTTGTCAGTGATAGCTGCTTTAAGTCTCCATCTGCAAGCCCTTCCTCAAGTCGTCGATCTAGTTCATCTACTTCACCACATAAAACTCTTTCACCCACTGCAGGCTCTTCAGGTTCTGACGGAGCTGTGGTAAGTTCTGTGAACTTGAGGCCTCCTCAGGGAAATCAAGGTGCTTCTCAGCCGTCTCAGAAAAAGGGAAACGGTGAAGAGGATAAAGTAGCAGAGAAAAAATCAAAAAGTTACCCGCTGAGGAAATCAAAGCTTGGGGGTGTCAGTCAAGAGATTGAACCATCAGAAGAAGGGATGGTATCTTTGCCATCTTCAATGCAGAAATCCAACTGTATAGCAGAAAAAACTGTGGAATGTGCTTCTGACTCGGAAAGAACTAGTGTCCAGGTCAAAGGCAGCCAGTCCAAGGGTGAAAAAGCAAAGCCCCACAAAAAGAGTAAGCATAAATCCGAAAAGCATGCAGAAATGGAGGAGGTTATGTCCTCTATATGTAAAGAAATAATTAAGGAAGTAGTTATCAGCAAGCCTGACAGTGATAATGAAATAGAAAAAATGGTTAAGACTGAACCAGCAGATATGGAGCGGAATGACAGTTCAGGGGAAATTGTGATAGTGCTGCCAGTTTGCTCCCGAGAAATAAATTCTGGCTCTCTTGCTTTGGCCAAAGAAAGTTTATCAAATGTTGCAAAAGTTTCCCAAGATCATATGTCCAGTGCAGAACCCCTCCCATCAGAAGGGAAGGCCAATGAGAATCTGACGGCTGCATCTGCTGAAGAAAAGCCGTCATCCCTCCTCTGTGCGATGTTGGTAGGAGGTACAGAGGTAGCACACACATACACGCAAGAGAGGGAAAAGTATAAACCCCATATTCCTGACGTTTCGGACTCTGAAGGGAATTCCAGTAAAGGTGAGAGAGATGAAATTGAAGAAGTGCCTGTATCTTCAGGAGCAACTACAGCTATAGAAACTCCGGCAGACTGTGTGAATATAAAAAGAGAATGTGATGACAACCAACCGGGCTGTTCTACTTCTTCTGTGTCTTTCCAACAAAGTGTGTTGAATGAAGAACATTCAGATTGTACAGCACCCTTTCTTGACATTAAAAAAGATGTGAAAAAAGAGTCTACTAATAATGTGTCAGGAATTGTGAAAGGAGAAAATGGGAGTGGAAGACTTAAGTCATTAGGTAAACGGTTTTTGAATCGCCAAAAGAACTTGAAGATAGATTTTTCCTCAAAGCTAGGAGAATTAAATGAATCTGTTTTGCAGTTAATTGATATAGACACTGAGGAAGAATTTGTGCATAACAAGTGGGAAGTGAAAGCTTCTAGTGATGCCAACGAGGATACCTCTGCTGCAGAAGCCACAAAGCTGTATGGACTTATACAGAATTTGGTTACTAAACTAAAAGACAGTGCCTTTCCTTGCAACATTCCTATTGACTCGGACGCCATTGACAAACTTGTCGAGTCATGCCCTAAGAATGCTTTAAGTGCAGTTGTGAAATTTGATGAAAATTCAAGGCAGGATAAACTGCAAAAACGGCTGGAAGAAGAAGCAGTCAAGTTGAAGTCTGTCTGTTCAGGTAAAAAGAACATGGAAATGGATGTAGAAGATGGACTCAATGATAGTAAGCAGGAAGCACCGGTTGCTGTAGACAAAAATGTTTTGAATGACAGGACAGGTTGTGAGGTATCTGGTCATACTGATTTTGGTGCCTCTCAGTCTTCTAGCACACGGAACGTCTTCTGTGGAGATAAGTCTTTCAGTGGCGACAGTGAGGGACTAAGAAAGGACAAAAACTGTGCAATGGCTGCATCTTCCTCCAGCCTGGATGGCAGCTTGTGTGAGCTGGACCTTGATGCCATCACATCGGCCGCCACTAGTGTCATCTGTGCTTCAGACACTGGTGGCTGTGGTGAAGCAAGTAGGGCTTCTTCTGACATCGATTGCAGTGAACTATCAAACTTGGGAGTTAAGGTCCCCATTAATGATATGCAAACTTCTAGTCTGTCAGGGTTAAGTCAAGACAGTGTTCTCAGAAAATCAAAAACTTGTGATGAGTTTTCAGGGGGTGGTTTGAGACATCATGCTGCTCTCAGGAGGGTCAACAGTAGTCCCCAGATGAATTCTCGGCTTGCAGCAGCAGCTGTTTCGGCTGCTTTGTCAATGCCGAACTTGAACAACAGCCCTGTCAAATCGAAGCTTGGCAGCAAAATTCCCATTCCAGGGGCTAGTCATGTGTCACGATCTTCGAAGAGAACATGGCGTACCCCAAGAGTTATCAAGGATCCCACCCCCTTGTCTGTGCTTTCAGATCTCGAAGCTACTTCTGATTCTAGAAATATTTTTGTGTGTCAAAACCTTCAAAAGTATCTCAATACTCCATCCCATAGAATGATAGTACCTCTCGTGAGGAAAGAAGAAATGGAAATACTTGATGCAAAAGCTAAAGAAGAAGAGGAAAGGTTAGAAAGGGAAATGGCAGAAAGTTTGGAAAAAGGAAAGCAAGACAAGGATGAAGAAGCAAGGAAAATGGAAGAAGAAATAAATGCAGATTATTCAAAGTTTGAGCCTGATTTTGATGAAGTGGATGGAATGTTGTTTATGTCCTTTTCTAGTGAAGTTGAATTGGAGGCTCATGTGCGTGTAGAAAGAGCTTTGGACTGGGACAAAAATGACACTATGCTGAGGATTTCACGAGCAAAGGCTTTTGAGGAAGCTAAGCTTCAGAACCAGGACATGCAAGGTGTCAAATTGAAACATCTAAGAGGACAGCACATGCGTTGGAAAAAGTACAGACGTTTATACAGCTGCGAGGTGAAGAATCTGCTTGATGCTAAAGAAAGGGGTGTCCCTTGTAAGCCAATCCAGCATTCAAGGAAGACATCTGACATCACTAAAATTAAAGGCTGGAAGAAGAAACAGACTAGTGACATTTCACATTTTGATAGCAAAGAAAACTTTATAGACCTTCTCACTGACTACCCACAAGAGGAAGCAGACCAAAGCTTAAGTACTTCCTTTGAGAATGATTATGGGTACCCATATTACACTTCTGAAGGACAGATGGACGAGGACCTGCAGTTTCTAGGGGAGACTACGGCAGAGGGGGATGGAACGAATGACATCAGTCCATACATGAGGCGTTGCAAGAACTTTAGTCACCAGAAGGCACACAAGCAACTCTTCAGAGAGCTCAACATGGACTGGGAAGACAGAATGATTCACCGTAAGCTGGGAGGATGGTCGCTCAAGGGCAACAGACCCAAGGTAAATTTGTGTGGGTCCCCCCCCTGTGGTTTTCATGTTTTTGTTATCATAATAACCAAAGGATTTAGATGTATTTATTGTATGAGCTCTTTTCTGTTTAAAAAAGAAAGAAATGACAGTTTTACGTTTCATTTTTGCCACAACTTTAAAAAATGTGTTTTTGATCATTTATGTAAAATCTGAACAAGTGAAGCCAATTTCATATTTTTCCAAATAATGTGAAAATCTCAAAATCATTCTAACATGTATATTGTTTTCGAGCAAGAACAGTGAAATCCACTATGACCAAGTTTTGGGATACATAAAAGGTAATTGCAGAAAAGCGTTGTCATGTTTAATCAAGGTCCTAAAAATTTTGATTAGATCAGCAGTTTGTCCTTAAAGTTTGCCCGTTTAGTCAGTAAATTTGTAACAGTTACCCAGAACGAGTTTGAATATATATAAGAGTTCCACAAGTACAAATAAATACATCAAAAGTGAAAAGTCTTAGCAAATAAATCTTTTCTAGTATTTTTAAAGTATGTTTACGAGAATGTGGATCAAAGATCATAAACGACTTACTAGCTTACCTGAAATGGCGTCAGTGCTGAGTTTTTCTGTATATTGTATATGAAAGTGTACTGTGTCCAGATGTTCTTTTGTAATTGCCTGATAGTTCACACTAACGCACATCTGTGCACCTGCATTTTGATATTGATTTTCCTCACATTGTCTCTGTGTGTGAAGCGTTATTTCTGCCCAGCACTGTTAAATTGTAGTTTAGATGGGACAAAAAAAATCAAGAGAATGTCAGACAGATGGAGCAATTTGTATCGTAGCTAAAAAGTTAACATATGTAATAGAAAAGGGTTTGGAATGTCAATTGTGTGGCAATGTCAGTTTTAAATAAATTTGTTCTTTAATGCACCAATAAATACCACTACGATGGTTGATTTTTATCAAGCAAAATCTTGTGTTTTACTCGATTTTGATTGACCTATTAAAACCTTGTTTTCCCCTAACATTGGTCTTGGTAGATTTTCATTTTTTAATATGACAAATGTGACATCTCTTTTGTAGAATTTAATTTTCAGAGTTTGGTGGAAAATGGTGCAAACATGATTGATATAATGAATGACCCCTTTACATGAGATCTTTTTTTTAAAGACACCCAGTAGAAGGTCATGTCTTCTACTTGTGGCATCAGCTTACTGTACAGGACGGTGCGCACCACACCGGCTATTTATCATAGGCATCTTTCTATGAATAATTGTAAGAAAATGAAAGGAACAAGTTAAATGCGAACAAAATTTAACCTAGGCATCTTTCTATGAATAATTGTAAGAAAATGAAAGGAACAAGTTAAATGCGAACAAAATTTAACCATATCTGTTCCAGTTACCTTAGTCTATGGTGTATGTTATTCGTCAGTGTGTCATGGTAGAGCTGACAGGTTTTTTTTTAAGTTTCAAAATTGCTTCAAATTCATGTCTGAAAATAAGAAAAATGCATGACATCAGCATGTTAATTTTTTTTGCTTTATGTTTATCATGATGCTTTGTCACTTATTAATTAGAAACAATTTTCTTTAAACTTTCATTTTGGACGTCAACAGAATTTTTACAAACGCCTTTAGTGCTGTTTCCTGGAATGTCAAGATGCTTTGTCACTTATTAATTATAAATAGAAACAATTTTCTTAAAACTTTCAGTTTGGGCGTCAATAGAATTTTTACAAGCGCCTTAAGTGCTGTTTCCTGGAATGTGACCCGGGAATCAGAATGCAAGGCTTTAATTTCAGAGGATAAAAACCCACTTTTCTAGTTGGTCAATTTTTCTGTGCTGTGTGATTCCAGGCCTTTTCACAAGCTGCTAAGAAACGCCAGGAGAAAGAAGCACGTCTGACTGTTGATGCTGCTAACTTGGACTCTGTGAAAGATCCCGCCATGGATTTAAGTTTAAGTGCAGCATTGGGGGACTGGAACACTGATGGATCAAGTGCTGATGCTGCTGGTGATTCGCCCTCTGGCAAGAAGAAAAAACAGATTAAGATGATATATCCGCTAGTGAGTTTGCTCTTTGTTTCTTATTCGTTATTTCTGTTCTGTGTCTATTGTACTGTCACTGCATACAGGATGAGAGATTGATTATTCTTTGAGCTTCACTGCCCTGAATAAGGAATGATTCAAAGACATTTTCACACCTCAAACAGTTCTTGCCTTTGCCAGTGTGCAAAGTTAAAGATGTTTTATCATTGGGAAGTTAGTGAGCTTTTTGTTCAGTTTGATTTTATGTCATACTTCATGGGGCTTGAAGTCTACCACTACAAAAAAAATAAAAAATAAATGAGTAACTCAGTTTAACTCTGCTTCGCGGTAGAAGCAAAAACATCAGAGCTACTCGTGTTTTCTTTTTCTTCTTTTTTTTCCTAACAGCAACAGTGGGGTTCTGGCAATGTCTTTGAAACTAGTTATAGTAACTTAAAATTGTTGATTGAGAGAACAGTATTCTGTCCTTTAGCTGAGTTATGTGGATATTTGACAGCACTCTTTCTTGTTCTCTTAAATGTTGGACACTATGTCTTAGGGTGAAACTACCTGAAATTCAGTGTAAAAAAATGTAATTGTACATTATAGTAAAGGGGGGGGGGGGGAGTGTTATATGTGAAATGTATTGTGAAGTAAGCAGGCATTATATTGCTGTTGGTTTGAGTAAGCTTTGAACACCTATTTATTTCTTGAATTGAATGCAATGTTGGTTGATGTATATTTTCTTATGCACAGCTCTCCGAGAGAATGGCACGGAATGCTTTGAGGACATTGGAAACTGGTGACATATTTAACACCCGTAGAAAGAAGAAGAGAAGACAGCTCACCCCCACCACACTGCCAGCTCTTACTCCCATTCCTGCCCCACGCACCCCCATTGTTCCATCTACTTCTAGTCAAGATCACACTCCACTCGATGATACAGGTTAGACTATTTTCGTAGTTCACCGCCCTTCATAAGTATTGTGTTACTTTGTTATATTGACTAGACCTGCATGTTTGCCGACAATCATCTGAAATCCGACAATCGCGACCTGACCCGCGAGCCGGCTGGTGCTATCGCTAGGGCCACCTGCATCAGTCAATGTGCGTAGTGTGAGACCTGGCCGACTGCCAGCATCCCGTTTTTCTCCCGTCGGCTTTGTCGGCACTTTCGTTTTCGTGCCGACTGCCGACGTCGGCGTTTCAGACATAATTGTCGGAACCTGAGTAGAAATACGAATACGAAAAAGGACGAAGACCTAAATTATCTACTTTCTGTTTCATGCTCGAGCGGCCATTTTGAATTTCGTTTGTTGACTAATTTAATTGTTCAGATCGCATGGATTCATTCAAGTCCGACTCACTTGTTCTAATAGAATCTAGATCTAGATCTAGATTTATATAGATCATTTATAGACCTCAATGGAGGATTCATATTCCAATTCTATTGTGTCAAACCCTATCATAGGTTGTGCTGTAATGTAATATTAATGTTGGTAAAAAGCATTTCATCAGGTGTGTTAATTATTTATTTATTTAGAATCTAGACTCGACCGAGTCCTTCTGTTCGGAATCTGGTGCAGATTTTTAGTTCAAGGCCTATTCCTATTCACTTGTTCTACAAAATCTAGAATCTAGATCTAGATTTATTTAGATTACTAGATCTATATGGAGGATTCATATTCCAATTCTATTGTGTTATTGTATCAAACCTTATCATAGCAATGTAAAAGTAGGCCATATTATGCTCCTTGTTTGTTTTGGAGTGTGGTTTTTATTTATTTATGTTTTTTTCATTTTGGACTTGTGCTGGCCTTTTCACATGAGGCCCGTTGCAGGGTTCTTTTTTTGGGTAGGCTTAGGGGTAGGGTTAGGGTTAGGTCTCTTCTTTATAGTGTTTGTTGGGGTGGTCGCTCGTTACTCGGAAGTCCTTCCTTATGAAACCCACAAAATTGACAAAAGCTCTTACGGGTGGGGGGTGCGCTAAATTTTCAGACAATCTGGTTGAGGCTCACATGCAGGTCTAATTGACATACAAACTTCCAACTTTACGTATTGAATGCTTCTTTAGGGCTAAGAGTCCCCCTGTATACCCTTTCTGGAATCATATGGGTGTTTCTAAGTGTCATTTTTGTATGGTGACTAAGCATACTATACAAAACCAAATCTCACTGTTTGAAATCTTTGTAAAACCAGTGGTGTTTGCTTCTGCAGAGCTTGTTTTCACTTCCTAATCCATGTGCAGCAAAAGATATCCATTTCGGTGTTGTGAATTACTGCTCAGTTGAACTATGACTGTTCTTCTTTCTCATATCAACACAGCCAGTACAATAGGGTCAACGCTGGCTGGGTCTGATCTGCTTTCCACACCCTCACAGCAGCCAGTCATCACTTCCCAATCCAAGACTCCACTAACATCATCTTCTGCCTCCACTGCAACCACCCCACTTCAGCTGGATGTAAAAGAAGAGATGGTGTTGGAGGGGGTTGATGTCTCAGCTGTCCCATTGTCCAGCCCAGCCCTGTCGGAGACCCCGAGTTCCACTCCAGGCCGATCCTGCGGCAAGCTTGGTAACGTATATTGATTTTATCAATGGGACCTATTTCTGGGTAGTCCTGGGATCAAAGCCGCCTGAATATGCTTTTTTTGTATTTTAATGCCCCATGCTGTTATCCCTTTTCTTTCATGGCTTGTATAATGTCAGTGTGCTTGTCTTTACTTGAAAATGGACAGCCTTTAGAGGAATCTAGTGTGTTTCTTGAATTAAGCAAGTTTTAGTTTCTGAGAAAGTGTATCGTAGGTTCCAATCTATTTGGAGCTTGGACGATCGCAATAACTTTTTGTGAGTCTACTCCTAAAGGTATTTTTTTTATACTGATGGTGACTTAAGGAGAAATTTAGAGGTATTATAAAGCAGTTATGCCTTCTTGACTTATTGACTGCCAACTGTATATATGTGGACACCACATGCTAAGAAAAAATTCTCAGTATGCTAGAAATCTCAGGTCACAATCTTTAATTGATGATTGCTTGCTTGTGAGAGATATGTAACACTATATAGCAATAGAAAGAGAAATGAAGAGATGGTTTCACCCGTAAATAAATCCAGCATAGAACAAGTTATAAACATATAAACGACTTTGATTCACTGACTACTGGGCCCTTTCGCCAGTCACTAGGGCCGAATACTGGCGTTTCAGGGAGTATTTCAAAACACCACCATAACTCTCAGAATTACCCTATTGTAATTATTTTTGCACACAGTGAAGTTTCATTCAAACTTATTCTAATACAATAAGACTGAAATTGTCTTAGTCTGATACTTTAATTTTTATGATTTAAAAAATTGGCATGAATTTGATTTTTCGAAAAATGTCCAGAGAAGTGACAGATAGAATGAAATTCACAACAACAAAACTAAAAGTGTTCTGTTTCAATTTGTATGCACATATGAGTGTTTGGTGAAACTATAAAAGCTGGGTTGTGCATTGATTCAGACCCATACACTGATTTACACGAGACAGATGTAGAGCACAAGGTTGTGATTTCGTTGTACTGTTGTACTAACAACAGTACTAGTGCTAGATCTAACCCTAAAACTGCAAGTCAGGCTATGTTCGGGTAGATATCCAGGGTCCTAACTATCAGACACATCATATTCTGAGGCACCAGAACTAGTAAAGCAAACAGAAGTATGGAAAATCGCAAAATTAAGTGATTCTTGTTCATACAACTTCTTCGACCGTTACCTGGACGTGACCATCAAGTTACTATCAACTGTATAGAAAAAACATAGCGCGAGTTCTGGTCAGTCCAACCCCTGTTGGGGCGACTGTTCTTCACCTTTAATTACTTAAAAAGTAACCATGAAACTTCTGCCAGACTCAGCATGAAACAAAAGAAGTGGTAAAAGTAGCACTGGAGTCTGTTTCCGTACATGTGACGGGAGCCCATTTCGGAACAAAGAGCAAAGTCCATCCCGTCAGGGGTACGGAATCCGTACCAGCGAACCGGCCGCCTATTCCGTACCTGTGGCGGGAATCATAGTGAGTTAAACCTGAGTTAAACTACTGAGACTGATGGCTGAACACTGACTCCAATGCAGTGCTTTGGCTCTGACTGTCTTGCATAATGTGAATGAGAGAGAGACAACACACCATACTCTTGTTTTATTGGTAAAAAACCCCACACTTCTCGTCAAATAGTCTACATCATCATCATCATCATCATCCAGTGCCAGATCTTCGACGCTCAGACGCCTGAATGTTGTTATAATCATGCAGCTGAAAATGATAACCTCTGAAAGGATGTCATTTTCTTTATTGAAAAGTTGGTAGCAGCTGGGATATCAACAGAAATAAGCCCAGGTTTTTTTTATTGTCTTAGAAAATTTCTATAACTTAACAATGGACCATTGCTTGTTAGTATTTCAGCCCAGTGTGTGCTGAGTTATGCCACTGTTATTGGATCAATCAACTACCCATTTCCCTATTTGATTTGTAAGAGTCCCAGCAGAACTTGTGTAGCAAGATTTTTCAAATGTATATTTCAGTTTACCTGTCTCTGCTATTCCACTCAGGCTGCAGATATGGCTGTATTTGTCACCTGTGCTCTGCAACGGAAGACAGCCCTGTGCAGGCTGCTAGCCCTGTCTCGAAGCCTGCTGCTCGCGACTGCGACAAAGAGTATTGTCGCCTGGGCTGTATATGTGACAGTATTGATCCAGAGAAACCCATTCCCACACAGACGCACTGCAGGAAGGCATCTTGTATGCTACGCTGTGTTTGCCAGGACTCTGGCGTCCAAGAGGGAAATGATGATATTCCTTACCTACCATCCATGAAGAGAAGACCAAAGCCAGGTGAAAGGTTTTCCAACTTACCTCAGCGGGAGAAGACTCACAGATCAGCTAAAAACCTGGATGCAATTACAAGGAAAGCTATGATGCTGTATGAAACCAGTGAAATCTATTGTGAGAAGGTGGAGAGGACCAAGAAAAAGGTATGTGTTGTAGCTGTTGGAGAAGCATTAGAAACAAGCTCCCATAACTGATGATGCCGTATCCCTTCCTTTGAACAAAAAGATATTTTCATTGGGTTGTTAATGGTCTTGTGAGTTAACATAGCTGCCACTTTCCCGCTAAATAGCAAAACTCCGCTACATCTAGCTTTCCCCGCAACTTTCCTCCTTCCTCCGCTGGACCGCTCTTGGTCGCAAATTTCATACTTTTTTTTCCACGCGGAAAACACCGAACCGGGAGAGAGACGAAAACGCGGTCTGCGCATGTCCGCCCGTAGCTTTCTACTTCCGTTCTTCTTGGCCCAGCGCTAGTTTCACATTGTTTATTGTTGTGGAGCAACACAGTGTCGATCGGGCATCGGGAGGTTAGCGCGCCGAGTTGTCATTGAAATTGGCGGAAATTCGAGAGAAATTGATTCAGAATGCAAAAATAAAAGGAGCTGGAATGAGAAAGAAGCAGCCGGTGTGCGACTTGAAAAGTTCATTAGAAAATTGAACTAGATGTTTTTTGCGAAAGAAATCGCGGCCCGCGGCACTCCTGTTACAGTCCTGTACAATTGCGGTCCCGTTTGTTTACATGACGGCTATTGTGGCTGCTGCGGAAGTGAATCTAGATCTAGATTTAGATCTAGAAAATCTATCTCTAGATATAATCTAGATCTACACATATTTAGATATATCTAGATCTAGATTAGATAGCCTAGGCTATAATTTTAATTCAGTTTATCTCTAAATAAGAAACGCACTACAGGGGCACTAAGTGCAAACGGGACCGCAATTGTACAGGAGTGCCTGTGTATCCTTGATCTGATACTGCTCTACGTCTATGTATGTACACGTTTAAAGTGAAAGAAATCTTTTTATGAGACACCAGCTGGCAAAAAACACTAGATTTTTAGTCACCAAGTCCAAACTGTGTCAAATTGACTCGAATGCTTGTTAGTCAACTTACTGCCTTTATGTTGTTGTTTTTTTCAAATACATTTTAATTCAGTTGCCTATGGTTAACAATATGACAGTTTTCCCTTCCAAAACCGTAGGCTAGATTTTCCAGTATATATTGCCTCTGGATCTCTCTGGTTTCGGAGAGCGCGCGTACGCTTTTGCGTGAATTTCCTCCTTTTAGAAAATTTCCGAGTGGCAGCTATGGTTAAACAGCTGCTTCTTGTTTTAGACTTTATATGAAGTGTGTCTCTGTCAGATTTAGAGTCTTATGTGACATTGTTGCTTGTCTTTCATCTGTTAAACATCAACCTCATTGTCATATTTTTTACTCTTAGCGAAGTAAGATGAAATTCAGCATACTGCATGATATAAATTCTCTGTAATAAATGCAGGAAAGTTGTCCTCTAAAAGATTAAAATACCCCCCCAGGGTAGGGCTGGATCCTGCTCGCCAAATTTGAGAGTGATGATTCGTGGTTGAGTCGGCTTCAAAGAATCGCGAGTACGCGAGCGCTCGTGGAACTGTGGCGGAACACTGACTGAAACGGAACGGTGTCATATCAACGCCACTTGGCGAGCGCGAGTCCCACTCTTGTTGTTCCGCCATCCTCTCCGCCCCATGCCCTTTGTTGCGCTGCTCTATCAACTGACCTCAATTAGTGACCCCCATAAATTCACCCCCCCCCAACCCCATGATTCGCTAAAAGAATGGCTCCACAAAATTCCTTCTGTCTATTGGTTGGACCCCGTTCATTTTGTTTTAATAGGGGGGGTTGGACTATACCATCTTTTGTAAAATAAGGGGAGCCATACTAAGTGTTCCGTTTCGTTCTTGCGCTCGTGACTCGACTCAGCAGTAGGTTAAACAAGCCACAAGGTGGTGACAGCGACAGGGGAGTGAATCGGGAATCGTTTGGCGATATTGTTCCGCGTTCCGCTGAAGTGGATCTGTTCTCGCGCTCGCGACTCAGCACTATCCCGGGGCAGTGCCACTGACTGTAGTGTCTTTAGGCCATTCCCAAAGGGGGGTCATTTCTCGTTCAAGCATAGTAGAATTGTAAATGGGCTGATTCATGTCACGCTCATAACTGTGCCTGATCTACAACAGGGAACTGCTGCATTGTCTTTCCTGATCCGTACTATTGTTATTTTCCTCTACTTCTTTTGTATGTTTGTCACTCTCTTGTGACCTGCTATTTTGGGGTGCCTTGATAGTCGAAGCAGACCTTGTGCTGTCGAAGCTAGAGAGGTTAGCAGTGTAAGTCTAATTCCCAGTAAAGACTTCTCTGTTGACACCCACCCCTTGGCGCTCATATGACCTTATGCAGTTGGGAGCGCTGTAAAACCCTCTACTATAAAAAAAAAATCTGGAAAAAAAAAAGGGAAATCAATGCATATTTTCACCGAAGGGATACATTTAAAACATAAAGGGCTTAAAAGTTTACAGGGGTTAACTATTTTTTAACACTTTGCAGTCACACAGCCAGCAGTACTTTAATACCCCATCTGGTCACCTAGCCAGGATAGTGACTGCCACGGACTTCTTGGGCGGGCGCAGCCAGGTGACCAAAACGGATCATTTTCACTGTCGCGGTATTGTGCCAAGTGACCGCAGTGTGTTAAGATTTGGTTGGAAAAGTTCTCATTGGCTTTTGCAAAAGATTCTGAAAAGGTTCTCATGTATCACACTTGGTACATGTTACTTCTGTCTTGATATAATATGATACAAATGTAGCACTTTTAAGTATCCCATGTTGGCAAGTGTTTTGTGTTAATGTCATTGCCACAGAAAAAGTGATGTCGCAATACTAATGTATTATATCAATACTATTTGCTCATGTACCTTTAGCATGACAACCTAAACGTGGAGCTTAGGGCTTAAATCATCGTGTATTGCTTTCGACCGCCTCTACTGTTGCGACTGATTGACGAGTCTTGCTGTTGCTACCTCTTAGGAGTATAACTTCGGAAAAAGTTGTTAAAAATGATATAAACTTCGCTTTATTGATTCCCTACGCAAATTTGTTTTACAGTGGCGTACATGAATACACATGTACATTGATACATAAATGTATGACTATACACACAAACATAGTGCTGTGTTTTTGAGCTAAGGTTATCTTGTCATCTTCTTTTAAATTTTGAGGTCCGAAGAGTATGGTTTCTTTTTAAAAGTAGCTCAAAGGTTAACGCCCCCTAAATTTTATGCCTATATATCTTCTGAATTTTAATGTAATAATAGTGGACATCTCCTTAGTTCTCCTAGTAAGCATTATTCTAATGGCCCAGGCTGAACCTGACGTTGTCTACATAGTTTTGATGAAGGTGTTTAATATACTTCCCTGGTCACTGGTATCCCTTTTTGTTCACGACACATAGAGCCCCTCCCCTTATACCCTTAAAAATTATACTCAAAGAGAACAACAAAGATCAAATTTTAATGAACTTCTCTTTCAGACTGAGACTGCGAGCAGCAGCCCAAACTCATCCCCACTTGTGAGTCCGGCTATGAGCTCTGCGCCCGCCCCCAGCACAGCCCCCATTAACCTGCCCCCGCCCGTGGTCTACACAGAGATAGACGACAGTGACTACCTGCAGGACGACTCCCAGACCAACACCATCTTCAGTGCTGTCAATCTTCTCACTTCTCAGGAGACTAGTGTGGCTGCTTCCCAAGTGGTTGTTAACAGTGCCCCTATTGTTGCTTCAGTCAGCAGTGGAGCTCCACTTGTTCCTTTTGTAAGTGGATTTTTACCAGTTCTTACTGATGGCTCTTTTCAAGAAGCACACAAGCCACAAAATCTTGGTTTTGCGTTTGACCAGCGCATAAACCCCTAAGAATGTTGTTTTTATATTTTCTTTGAAAGGAAAGTTTAGATATTTTGTTTAATCTCAGTTATCAATGTCCATATTTTTAGAAGGGAAAGTTTTGGGAGAGAAGTAACTGTTGTATCATTTACATGAAAATAAAATATATTTTATTATCAGAATATAGTTGGCCGGCTTATTGAATTTAGCCTTCAATATACACATGTATGCACACCCACAGATGCTGTTCTGTTCTCATTTCTCGTCTGCTTTCTTTTTTGACATCATATTACTGTGCTTTTGGTAAGTCATTTGGGAGTTATTGGTGGGGACTCTGGTGCAGGTGTGTTTACTGGGTCCTCGTTTTTACCAAGCAAAATTACACCATTATCATACTACACTAAACTACAACTGAACATCTACAAGTTATCTTAAAATATAGACAGTGGTGTACTGTAAATTTTGAAAATCCTATATATGTTTATTTGATTTCTGCTTATCCCACATTGAAGTCAACGATTCCTGTTCTGAACTGTTTACATACTCTGTTTATACTGTGACAACTTTTAACTTTGCTTGTTGCTTCGAGGAAAGAAGGGCTTGGACCCTTAAGTAATCTTGTACATAAGTTGCTAAGTGCTATGTTAATGTGATGACTATGTTGATTCTTTCGTAGCTGGTAGCTGAGTTTTGTGTGAACTCTGGCCGGCTGACAAGTAAAGTCAGGCCATGTCATTGACACTCTTTGTAGGTGGATAGTACCAAGGATGTGTCCTTGAGCAAGAGCAATGAAACCCAACTAAGAAAACGAGACTTTTCATTTTTATGACTAGCTGTTGCATGTTTGTTTTAAATTGTCTGTCATGTTACTTTGTGGTATAAGATTATATATGATATGCTTCTAATAATCTTGAGATTAATTTATGGATGCATTGTATGTGCCCTGGAACGGAAATTTCCTCCAGAGGATCAGTGAAAGTACAGTCAACCCTGTGTAAAATGGCCACCCATTGTCAAGGAGAAAAGTTGTTGTATAACAGGTGGTTGTGTTCGGCAGAACTGATCAAAACGAAGAAAGCAAATCATTCTCTTCTGAGGTCCAAACTGGGGCTGATGTTGGGCTTAGGACTGCTGTAAGGTGAATTCAAAAGGGTTTTTGTTTTCTTTTGAAAAGGAGGGGTGGGTGGTGTAAGAAGTGTTTTTTGTGTTGTTGGTTTGGGGGTCTGTTTTTGGTTAGCTGTCTTTTTTGTTGTTGGTTTTGTGCAAGGGTAAAATAAACAAAACATTATGTAAGTAAGACAATGAAGACCGAATGCCATGGTACAAACACATGGGTCGCCACCATTTGGAGAACGAACGACGCTTATGTCGCAAGTTCTCGTCTACATCCATTGTTACTTTTTACAGATTAGGTAAACAAAACAATGACCAGTCACCTCACTTATGATTTGTGCTTGAGTTGTGGGTGGGGCTTATAGGTTATGATGGATGACACGCTTCCCTCACCAGCAGTCGAAAATTTATCGTTATGCCTACCCATTGGTCAACTTTGGTAAACATTCATTGGACATTGGAGGGACTAAAAATAATGACAGGTGATTGAATTATGAAGGCTCGTCCACAGAGTGAGGGGTCGATTCAAAATTTATGACAAAGCTTTGGGCAAAGAGTGACCTCAATGGCTGCCTGAGGCAGGTAAATTTCACCATAGGTTGATAAAATAAGGTGGCCGCGGCCGCGTCGGACAGGTGACTGTTTTACGCAGTTAAATTATATAGAAAAAAACGGGAGGGGGGGGGGCGGGGGGTGGCTGTTTGTACAGGTGGTCGTCATGGTAGTTCTACTGTAGTAGTTTTACTTTTTTCTGTTTTTCTTTTGTTTGTTGCCCCCAGACCTATCTGCATGGATGGTGTTTTTGTACAGAGGGAGGAGATGGTTTTTTATTTGAAGACGTACTTAGGATGACTATCTGTGGAAAGTTGTTTCTTGATTTTGTCTTTGTTCTTTTATTTTGCAGTCACGGCCCATAAAAATGGCTCTGAAGATCCCCAAACCAACGTTTGTTGTGGATGATGTGTTGCAATCAGCGCCTGTGATAGAACCCTCTGCTCACAAAAGGTGGGAAATTTTAAGTTAAAGAAAATGCCTTTAACCTGGGCCGGCTGAAACGGGGCCATGTGGCCCCAGGGCACTTTGATTTCAAGTGTAAAATCATTTTGCACAGTGGATACCTCAGCTGCTATGACTTTGTCTAAAATTTATATTTACATCAGTGTGCCGAAGGGTGAGAATATCAATATGTTCCAACTATTTTATACATAATTTTTTTGAAGGGGTGTCTCATTTCCAGACACCGATGTACATCTACAGCCGATGTGGGGCTGAGCAGCCCCATGGACAAAACCTATTGTAAACTTTTGCCGCCGGTGTGGGTCCTAGCGGATCCTTAAACAAGATCTACAGTTTTTCAGTTAGTTATATGGGGTGCCCCTTTGGCGGTCTGGTCTGGTCGGGATGATCGCCCGCCCCGTCGCCTGAAAACAAATGCGTTTGTTTTTGAGAGCGTTTGTTTTTGAGATGACGATTTGGGCGCGATCAACTTGTGCCACAATAGCCACTTTGTGCCCTTAATCTGGCTAGTAAACTGACCCCATCCCCCAATGGGTACCTTTGTTCTTTGGTTGATACTCAGACCTGCCACTCATCCTGATTTAGTCGGAATAGCCCAATTTTTTGCCCCAAATCTCAAGCATCCCGATTTTCCCAATTTCAATCTCGTGTATCCCGATTTTTTGTTCCAGTCTGCTGTTGCAACGGATTTTTCTAAAAACTTACTCTACCTTCTTCTCTGTCTCGTGAAGCACCCGTTGAACTTTTTGTCAGTAGGAACCAGGAGAAATATCGATGCAGGATTTAGTAGTCGACTCACTCCAAGTTGTGTTTGATCTTTGCCCGCTCTCAGAATTCTCTGATGATAGCCTGATAGCTGTTACAATTGCGACATACAAATAATAATATTCGTAGTTCTGCTGTTACTTTCAAAACTTGCATCGTCCGAGGTCTGGTAAATGCGCGTTCACATCAAACACCTGACGAGCGACAGTCATTCTTACCCTTACACATCAAACTGCGCTGACTAGACTAACACTCAGCCGCTGTCATTGCTTTGGTCTGAACGCATATGAGTGGTAAGAGATTTGTTGGTTCATTTGGTCGGTTGGCCGTTGTTGTTAGCCTAGAAAAAAATATACTCCCCTCATCTCTTGAATCGTGTTTCTTTGGCTAACGTTGAAGGGTAGTGTTAAGGTTAAGGAAAATTTCTCAACTTTTAAATGTTTTTAGGTGTGTACGCTGTAAACCCCCATTATTTTTCTTATCCACTTTTGGCTAACATCAAAGAATACTTGTCGCAAACTTAGTTTGCAGTGACCTTTATGAATGGGCTTTTAGATTCTGTTGGTCATCCTACTTTTAGACCCCTTTGCAAAGATCTGAGAAGATTAAATAGAGCGATTTCATTTTATCTTGTTTTAACTGCGGTCAGAGAAAAGTGAATAAGCTATAGTGTACTATGTCATAGTTAAAAGTGAAAACGGAATTTTAAAGTTGTAGAGAATCAACTTGCATGAAGTGTTCTCTTGCTGGAATTTGCTTCATTTTTTTTTAACTAAAAAAATGTTTGATTCTGGTTTGAATGGGTGGGGTTTTAAATGTGTGATGTATACAGCTCTAACTAGTCCTTGATCATGTGACATTATTCTGAAATTCATTTATTTTCAGTGGAAATTTGATTAGACAGTATTGCATTTTTATAATTTTTGTATTGTTTATTTTAAAGAAGAGTTTATATCCATATGTCATACTTCATTGCCAATGTCTCTGTTTCATGCAGGAAAAGAAAAAGCCATCCGCTGTCCAGTGAAATATTTACCAACTCCACGTGTGCTCGTGTGCATCCCTACAAGTACCATATGGCTGTCATGGAGAAGTCTGGCCGACGTCACAGTGAGGCACCTCTCACTAGAGACCTCAATGGTTCTCAGTCTGCTACTTCATCGCTGCTGAGTCTTGCTGGCTCAGGCATTAAGATTTCCACCAGTGCAGAGATCGGCATGATGAAAACTGATGTCAAAGCTGGGGTTAACAGTGGGTCAGGCAGACCACAATCTGAATGTTCTCAACCAGTCAATACCAACCCTTGTCAGAAGGCGAGCGATGTGTCGTCTAGTCTACCTACTCAGACTGCACTCACACCAGGGCCTGTGTCAGCTGCAAATGTGGCTGTAAGTCAGAACATGGAACAAAATCAAGCTCAGCAGTCGCATCCTATGCCTCCTCAGAGGCAGTTTCATGGCTGGCACACCTCTATGGTGTGTCTCAAAGCCAGAGCCCCAGCAAAGACCCAGTCTTCAGGAGAGGAAGATGTGCAGGAGGAAGATGAGGTCAAGCTTCTTGAGTTTGCTGCCAACTGCAATTGGGAGGGAGCCAAGAAGGAGATTCTAAGCAAGGTAGCTCAGTGCTTGTCAAGGGGTCACTACCCTCAGCCCAGAACAATGAATGTGTGTGAGTTTGTGGTGGAGATTTTGCCCAAAGCTCACCATCCCAGCATTATTCCTGCAGAGCTTAGGGTCAAATTACCGGGTCAGATGTTCTCCATACGAGTGCGCATCACCCGCCGGGATTCCATCTCAAAATCTGTAAAAGCCCCTTCAGTGCCAGTAATAGATTTAAGCGATAACTCTCCTTTGAAAGTAACTGCTAGAGCTCACAGTGCAGACAGCAATTCTCATTCTCTAAGCATCAAGACCAGTAGCAATTTTTTGTCATCGCCTTCGAGGGATGGTCCGAGCTCTCTCCCTTCTTCAACACCATCACTTGGCATCTCTGGTCTGAGTCAGCTGTGTGTAGACTCCACTCTCACAAGACAGCAACAGCAGCAGCAGCTCAACCTTTCATCAGAGGGACACGTTCATACAAGCCCAGACCTGCATAAATCATCTAGTGCTCCAAATAGTCGAAGGTCAAGCTTGGAGTCCTTCCCGGTGGATACATCGATCAAAAGTTGTAAGGAAGAGGGGGCAAACCTGCAAAAAGGCAGCATCAAGACACCCAAGGCAGCAGACTCTGTAGATCTCACCATTCAGGGTTCCACCTTCGTGAAGGTTGAGGGCTGTTCTTCTGTGACAAGTCCCTCCACCACCGGTAGTCTGTCCAGTGAAAACCTGGTTGTTACTTCAACAAACAAATCTGTTCCGTCCAGTAAGGCAGCAACCACAGTAATACCACTGGCAAGTTCTTTAAATGTGCCTAATAATATGACTCCTTTTATAGGACCGTTCTCATCAAAGAACATCAAGTATATGAAGTTTCCAGGAAATGACACAGTGATGCAAGTTTTAGAAATTAAAGATAAAGCAAGCAAGAACAAGCTGATTGCCTTGCCAATGGCACTGCCCAACAATGTAGGGGATTCAAATTGTGTGCAGCCGACTGTGCCTGTTATGGCTGTGCCGTTTAGCCAGTCAAGCCAGTCCCAGATGGTTCCAATCCTCCCTTCCCAGGCATCCAGTCAGCCTCTGTTTTTAAAGATCCCCATGTCTCATAGTGGCAGCAACAACACCAGTCAGCAGATATTGGTCCAGCCTATGCCGTGTTCGGTTGCTGATGGTAAAACTACAACAGCTGGGGGTCAGGCTGTTCAGCTAATGCCCAAGAAGAGCACTGTTGCATCACATCTACCTGACAAAGTGGACAGTGACTCTGTTGTTTCTCTTGACTTGAGTGTTTCTGATGCAAACAGCGTCCAGAGGAGCCCTGAAGAAACTATCATGGTGTTTGACACTACCAAGATAAAGGCCTTACAACAGGCTAAGAGAGCTGTTCAGAAATCTTTAGCTAAAGACCAAAATATAGTCAAAGATACACACCGTGCAGTAGATGCTGATTCTAGTCTGAGTTCTTGTCCATGTGACACTAATAGTTCTGTGGGTGTCAGTACCTCAGTAACGCCTTCACTGAGTGGTCCCATTGTATGTACAGGAGTCTTACCACTGCGGTCAAAAGATTGTGAAGAAAACAAAGAGCAGGAGTCATGTAGTCGGTCTCTCGACCAGTGGACAGGTTCAGATCTCAAGCATGATGCACTATCGGATTCTCACCTTGACCCCAGTTGTAATTCTTCCAAATCAAACCAGGAAAACTCCAGAACAGTGGAAGATAGTGATGCGGAACGGATGTTAGCTTCTAGTTCAAACAGTTCAGTAGCAGCTTCTGCAAACTGGGATGTAATAGTGACAGATGCCAAGAAAAGAAGTGATGTAGCTGACCATGATGCTGATCTTAGTAAACCAGCAAATGGAGAACTTGAAATTGTCATGGGTCCAGAGAGCGAGGGAGCTCGCTCTGGAGGCACGAAGAGACCCGCATTGGATAGTGAGCTGGTGGGTCCTCGGGCCAAGAGAGTACGTCGACTGGGTGGCGACAGCAACTACCAACTGTTGCCTGTTGTGGATGAGGACAGCAATCTGTCAGCCTGCAGCATCCCGGCTCCGACATGCTCTGCTGTCCCCAGCCCCCAGCTCAGTACCTCAGACCGCCCGACCAGTGTCATGTCCTCCTCGGCCCTGTCCACTGGCTCCAGCGATGATGTGCTGGTCTGCATGCTCAGTTCTGATGTAAGACATTCCTTTTTTTCTTCTCATTTGTCTATTTGCAATCACAGCATAACAAGGTTCTGTTTCAGTTAAACTCACTTTTGAGACATTTAACTTCAACATTTTCAGACTTTTCCTCTATGTATAGAACAAAATTAACATGAAGTTCAAACTTTTGTCCGACGATGTAGGGGGAGTACAGGTGGAGACCCCAGACACTTCAACTGTAAACACGAAAAATTCCGGGTTAGAACCTTGTTATTCTGGGCTAGCCTTCTATAAAGCATTTACTTGTCGAAGGTCCATCAATGAAGGCATTTTTTTCCTTCTCTTTTATCTTTTACTTGTTTTTTATCACACTCTGTAAGAAGTTCAGTTTTTGTTCTTTTCTGTCATTTACTTGTTTATCTTACTTCATGTATCAAAAGTATAGAAAAAGTATCAGTTCTAGGTTTGTGGTATTATTTATTTTCATAATTACTTTAGTTTGTCAAATCTTCGCAGAAGTGTTTCCCCTTGCCATGCCATATTTTTGTGTTTAAAAAATGTTGCTTTGGGGACAGGTTTTCATTTTTTGTGAAATAATGTGAATTTCTTTTTTTAAAGATGAAAGGTAAGGGAATTCCTTATTACTGACTGGATATTTATTTACTTTTGAAGAGGGTGAAAACGACAGGAAAATATCAGAGATAAATGTTAAAAAATGTGAAGCGGTTAGAAATCAGATATATGATTTCATTCAAGGTTTAGCCTTTTTCATATTTTGATCTGTCTCTTGCCTGCCTATGTTGTTTTTGCGCCTCGTCCTAGCCTTCGTGTACATGTATTTATAACATCGTTGTCCTTTCCAGGAAGAGATCGATGTGGGTGAGGACCATCCAGAGGCCTGGTATTATATAGCTGAGAACAGCGCACGCAAGTACAGGGAAACTGTTGAGAGAGCCCTTCAAAACGATCACGTCAGTTTGTGCAGCAAGCCAAATATCCCTCATGTGGTGCTCAAGGTCAGAATTGTCAAGAAAGAGAAAATAAAACTCTGCTTAGTCTTTTTATAGGAATTAGTTTAACAGTAGTGTTTGTATACTGTGAACATCCTTATGAAAGACATCAGATGCAATGAACCATGGGCTCGGTGAAGATGGAAACTGTCCCTATTTTCCTCTTGTTTCAAATGAATCTTTGCATGAACAACCTTGCCCCCAAACAAAGTAACTTATGTTGCAAATTATATGTGGGTGCATTTTTTCCATCTACTTAGCCTCTGGTTTCACATTTCAAGTACTCATCAAAGTACAAAGACTTGTTACTCTGGTCACAAATACAAGGTCTGTTTAAAAAGTAAGGTGAAAATTGTCATGACTAATCAAGTAAAAAAAAAAAAAAGGAGAGAATCCCTCAGAAAATTTCAACCATCTATTTGCTGTGTAGGATGAGGGTGCTAAAAGTGAAAAGCAGGTATATCACGAGTACAATTTGTTTAAAAGCTGGGCAAAAGAAGCTTTAAGGGACACAGGGAGGGTGCCCCTGAATTTTAACTTCCGGAAGTGTACCCTCAAGGAGTGAATGCACTTATTTGTGAAGATAGGTGGCTGAAACTTTTTGGGGATTGCTATGGCTTTTGAAATTTTAAAATCAACATCAAGAAATTGTACGTGGGTTACTGGGGTATCTTAAAATGTTGTTCTGTAGGTCTCAGAAACAGAAAGAAACATGGACGTCTATGGTGTCTGAGACTGAGTGAGAACCAAAAGGGGCTCAAAAAGAGTTTGCTATTTCAACGATTTAACTTGCTATTGAGTTAAACCCTCCAAATATATGAGGCATCGTGGTGAAATCAGGCGCTCGTCAAAATAATGAAATCGAAGAAACTGGCATTTTTCTGCCAGTTTGGCAACTTTTGTTAAATTTTTGCTTTTTGACTCGACACCTTTTATGTCCTTTTAAAAACATTTCTGTCTTGGATTTTACTGGAAAACATTGATTAAAGACACAGCAAATGTAAAGTTCAGTTTCTAAGGACTTTCAAGCTTTGGAAGTCAACAAACTTTAGCTGCCATTTTCCCGCTAGTTTTATCTCTGAAATAATGGTATTTATATTGTTAGTCCCGTTGACATAAAGTACCATGTTACAAACATCTGTGATGCAGCAGCAAGACGCTTGCCCATAGCATACAGGAAACTTAAGTTCGATTTTTATTGAGCATCTCTGTTTTTCTGATAAGACCTTGTATCCCTCTCAGTCAAGGTTGGTCCTGACGGGCAGGGCTGAAGCCCTCCCCTTAAATAATCTAAGTTATGTTGATGGGGGAGTAAAAACACCTGTTTTGCAAAGTATAAAAAGTGTCCTGGCTCTGCTCCTCTGTTGGAGGAAAAGAGGCTTTGCCATGATGGCATAAAAAGTGAATTTATGTCCGAAAACATGAATTAAAAAGATACAGATAGTAATGTCTTTTCTATGTCTTTTGTAGCTGAGAGATTCTATTCTTCAAAGTGGAAGTTGAACAGACTGTTGGAGAATCATGGCGCATTGTAGTTTGTGAAAGCCTTAGGATGTCTCTATAAAACGGGTGGTTGGAGGATGCTCCTGGTAGCTCCGGCTTCTCTTCCTCTCCCTCTTGTTTTGCACGTCAGTCTTGCTTATTCCTGGTACTTAATTTTTGGTAATGTTATTGTGTGGATGTGTTTCACTTTATTCACATAAAGGATGATGTTGACCTAGAAACATCTATTATGTTCATTTCAGCAAGTATGATTGTTGAACTTTGGGTTGTTCAGACACCATTGTATGTGTTTGTTCTATAGTGATCCCTGGGTTTTTTTTCCATCTGTTCTTTAAATTTATTCAAATCCTCTTTTTTCAGACAAGTGTTAACACCCCAGAGCGAGTGAAAAATCGAAGTGCTTTGTAAGTGCATTCTACCATGTGTGGCAACGTGGTGAAATCAGGCATTCTTCAGAATTATGAAAACATTTTTTCTTTTCATTTTTACTGAAAAGCATTGACAAAAAGCATAAAATGTAAATTTGAAGTTCCTAAGGACACTTTGGAATTTGCCAAACTTAAGTGGTCATTTTCTCACTAATTTTATCTTTGACACCAGGCCTTCTTCAAATGCAAACATCCGGAATTCTGTTTAAGATAGATTCGGGTTGGTTTTTTTTCACCAAAAGTAAGACAAATGAACAAGCTTTAAGATGATACCAATAACTATAAGATGGACAAGAGCCTGATTCTACTGCGTCGTGACACATATTATTTATTTTGTAAGACTGTTTGTTCTCTGTTAGTTGAATGGTGTATTACTATCATTAGCAATTTGAATGTCCAAAATCTATTAAGAACTAGATTTTAAAGTATACATTCCTTTTTTTTAACACATGAATAATATTTTTGTTGAGTGAAATGATGAGTTGTACTTGTGTACTTTAGTCAGTAGATTAAAAAATAACTTTGTTGAAATTATGACATTTTAAAAATAGTTTTGTCAATGCACACATGATTAGAAAGTGTTTTATGTCTAATGATGAGTTGTGATATAGGTGGGATGTTGGTTGTTTTGTTGTTTTTATTTGAGGAGGG